TTCGAGGAAAAAAAAAAAAAAAAGCTTTTTTTTTTTATTTTATTTTTTTATGTAGCCTAAATGTAATTTATTCTGAAGCAATAATCTCATCAGTGCTCTATCAGGTCTTACTTTAATCAGCATATTTGTGAGATTTGCCTTTTTGGATTTGTTGGATTTCTAGAAAATTGGATTTCTAGGACACTTTTTAACTTTATGAACTGCTTTTTCCCAACCTTATAAAATGTACATGTCATCATTTATGTCAAATTCTTAAATTTCATTAATACATTCAGTTAGAATAATAAGACACTATATGGTTGTTAGAATTCAAATGAAATCAGTATCAACAAACTCCATCTTTCCAAAGCAGAGGAAACACAGAAGCTGCATCCAAATTGCCATTTAGATGCATTTACTCAGACTGTTTAATGAAGACAAGAGGTTCCATAAATGCATTTACACAGTAAAATTGCAAATGCATAAATAATGTTATGTTTTACTTTTTTAACATACAAATATGAATTGTTGGAAAAATGTAATTATACTTTTAAATATGAAACCAATCCACCAGTAGGTGGCGGCAAGTCACTATCTTAATGAGTGAGTCATTGATTCAACCGGTTCATTCAAACAGCTGATTCATTCAATAAATTAAGCAATTGACTGTCTTTATGAATGGCTCACTGAATCATTCAGTAACCAAACACTGTTGTATGTTGCTCGGAGACACACGACAGTTCTGCTGTGGCTTTACTTAGAACTATTTTTGTTTGCGAAATGGAGCAAAAACGATCAACAATGTGTCCAAAATGTAAATCAGTTAATATTAACTACTTTTCGTTTATTGAACTATACTGAAATAAATGTCACATTTTCAATTGTGCTGATAGTCGGGGAAACATTACTCTTGGTCGTGTGATGTTGCTTATATCATATAGATACAGTATATTAAAAAAAATTCTACCGCAGTGTTTGTTCATGTGTGTTTCTTTGTGCGTGCTGCTTTGCGCTTATTATTTTTGATTCCTCCATGAGTCAAGACAGGCTGCGTGAGCCTCAACTGATGCAACCTAGTCAATACATCATCCGTTATCAGTCACCATTTATACTGAAAGTAATAAAATTAGAACCATTCTCGTCAAAGTTTCGGTGCTGCCCTAGTTGTCCGGTTGGGCAATTCAAATTCTCTTTCACTTGCCCCTTCACAAAATCCACTGGTCCCTGATTACCGGACAAGCGTTAATGTCGAGCTCTGTAACAAAGTAATTTTTATTTATTTATGTTTGCATTACCAAAGTGCAGGTATCTACGTCATATACATGTTTACATTACAGTGCAGGTAACACTGTATCAAAGTTCTTTATATTTACATGTTTACATTATTTACATTTGTACAAATAAATGCAAATTTAACCTTCCACAATTTCTATACTAAATATTATTTTAATTAATATATTGTGCTGTTCTATTGTTGTGAAGAGTGTGGGTAGCCAAGGGTATAAATTAAGTCTTTCTCTAGTGTTTACTCTTCAACACTTTGCTTGTATTAAGGGCGTTATTCTAAAAAGGAGTAGATATTCTACTGGAATAAGTTGGGTAACTTAAAGCCCCTTTAGCACTACAGGACACAACAATGTTTGGCGAACTGTCTACGACCGTTAATATTTAAACTTTCAGAAGGCAATAACTAGAATGTTATATATTTTTATGTTTATAGCAATACTTATTTAGGAAAATACTTATTTGTTGTTTACAATACGTCAAGAAAGAGTTCTGCCGCTAGTACGCTTAAGCCTTATATGGAAGTGAAGTTGCTGGCTGAGATTCTACCGGATATACGTAAGCGTTCGTGCGTAGAGTCTATTGCCTTTTTTATTCCGTGGTGGAAATGGGCTTCGGTAGACTGGACTATTTACATCTCTTAAAAGTTTGTTGGTAATCTTCACCAGCTACATATTTTGTCTTTCTTTCTTGGTAGAGGTCACTCCCCCCAAAAGCGGAACTATCGAACGAACAGCTGATACCATCCTGCTGTGCTTCTGCACGGAGCGTAAACACTGAGACACTCGCTGTCATCTTCAAACATGTGGTGGTTTTTGCCTTGTATCCTCGGCTTCATCAGACTCTATTTAGACGGCGTCAAAGTTCTTTTATACCAGCTTTTCAACAGATCGTTCACCCTGCCAGGTTAGAGGGTTTTCATGGTGACGGATTTGTAGTGTTCTGACAGGTGGTTGTTTTATTGTCAAACAGTTATTCAGTAGTTAGGAGCTGTCCGTTGCAGATTGGGAATGTTGAGAAGCGCGCTTAAAGGGACAGTTAACCCGAAAACAAAAATTCTACATTTATTTACTCACAATCATGTTGTTCCGAACCAATGTGACTTTCTTTCTTTCTCGATAAAGACAGGAGTCGAATATTCTTTTAACATTTCCTTATACTTTCTGTTATTGAGGCAGTTTGTATATGAGTTTGTATTATGGCTGCTAACTCGGCTGCAATTATGCATAAACCTAAAAGAAATACAGTTTAAACGTGTTTCTCATTTGTTATCTAAACATGACAGACTGTAACCTTTGACATATTTACTCCAACGCCAAGGTCTTATTATGAAGACATATTTCATTAAAAGTGATGACATAATATGAATCATAAGTTAATGTTCATTTAAATAGTTAGAAATGTAATGATGTTTTAAGAAAACTGTTTGTTTTAAATATTGTATCATTGGCCTCTGGCTGAAATGCTGGCTTTAAATTATAGTGTACATACTTATGCCCATTTATTAAGGAATATTTAATTTATAGCAGAATCTGGGTAATTGTTGCCAGAGTTAATGATGACTTTTCAACATGGTCACAAACTAATCACATGTTTCTGCTTAAGATCGCTCTGTCTGTTGCAATTTTAGATGGCTCTGTATTTAAATTAAAATCACTGTTAAAGGGCAACCATGTCCCAGCGCAAAGCAAAAGGATTAGACTCAAATCCATCTGCACAATGGTCTTTTGTATCAGAAATATTTAAATCTTCTGAAGCCTGACTGGATTAGCTAAAAAAAAAAAAAAAAGATTAAGAAACACTGTTTTTAAGACTTGTTTGCATTATTGGACTATGTTTTTGTGATGACAGTAAAATGTAAGCTTTGCAATTAACACAATTACCTTAATTTTAACTGGACATTTTAACATGGAAATGGCAACAAAAAGTAACATTACTTATCAGTGATGATTGTCATAATTCCTCTGCTTAAAACATCAATAGTGCACAAGTGGACTTGTTTTTCTTTATTAATAATAATAATAATAAATACCCATAAAGCAAAAGAGTGAAGGAATGGCATCATTAGTAGACTTATCTCAGAAGCAGGTCATGCTGTTCTCAGTACATCGATGCCAGATGCAGTTTCTACATTTAATGATCCCTGTGACCACGGCACATCCAAGAACACTCACAGAGGGATGACAGTATATGTCCCAAACAAAGACAGTCTGTGTCTTTGTAAAACATTTTTTTTTTAGATATTACACAATTTAAAAAAATCATAATTTTCTTGCTTCCTGTCTTACCCAGATTTGCCCAAGCAGAATGGAAAGACCACTGCACTCAACAAGGCAGCCCAAACGACATAACAGGTAACGTGCTGTCTGCCCAGTGGTGTAATGTTAGCGGACGGGCACGCGCTGCAAAATGCCCCGCGATAACCTCCCCTTGCTGGGTTACGTCGAAAGACGATGATCTTGTATCGACGATAGCCAGAGATATTGTCAAAAACATGTTGTTATTATTGGCAATATTAAGAGGATTTGGCATTTCCAATTAATGTAGGCCGGCCTGTTACATTCTTATTTTTATTAGACCTATTATTATTATGAAGTTACGTTTATTATTAAAGTTTATTATTAAATTAACATTACAATTAATTTGCACCGCAATATTACCGCATAACTGACGCGCTTTGAGGATAACAAAAGATAAGGCTATTTACTCCTCACTTAAAATGTTTTACTGGTTAAACTGGTCTAATAGCTACAATTAATTATAACCATATATTTAAAATATTAACACTGCAGTCAATAAAAATCAATGAAATAAAAAGCTTTATTTAGCCTATTTTAAGCACCGACTTTCAAAAACAACCTGTTTAACACAAAATACTTTTCTTTCTTCTCATTTTTTTTCACTATGTACGGGCCACAAGAGAAATATTAAGGGAATAAATTAAAACAGTTACCTATATAGGCCTACCGTTATCAGCATATGTTGAAGTAGATTGGTCTCTCGTCGTCTCTGAGAGAATATGCGGCTTTCACTTTCTGCATAGTGAATTGACTGAGATTAAGACGTTCACCGGCACAACTCTTGCGCAAGTTTGCACATTGCTTATGTGATATCCATTGGCTCGCCTTCATGGTTTAAAACAGAAATATTTCCAACATTGTGACGAAAGCAAATGGTGCGCCCATTGGTGCACCCTCTAACAAAGGTGTGTCTTTTTCCTTGAAATAACTTTTGAATTAAAAGTGCATTGAGTAATTCTTTAGCTAGCTTTAACATTACTGTTCTATTTATATTTTCTGTCGAAGTGGTTCAGCATGATTGTCTCTGAGTTTTATGTAAATGACACTCATACTAGTGAGTTTTAGAGAGTGGTCTGCGCAATAATTAATTCCCTTACCTTTCCAACAAAAAAAAGCAACTTTGTCATCACTACTCAGGATTTTCTCTATCATCATGTCTTTCCACCTTGTGTTGGCCTTACCAATGTTGCATTTGCTGGTAAAGCATGGTAATAAGTGTGTTCCACTGTATAATGTTTGCTCTTCGCATCACCAAACAATACTAGTGTATCTACAGAGGCAGCAGCCAGTGACGGATTGTTTCTGATGTTAGGTGAAACACAACATTTAACATAATTTCAACATGGCGAAATACATCTAACCATACATAATTAAAACACTTTTTTTAAATATAAAAAAACATATAGAGTACGTCTTCATCTCATATGAGTGTAAACTCATTCAGATGATTCTTCACTAAAACACTATTTATTTCTTAATGTGTAAAACTTTTTTTTAAATTAGCACCAAACTACTGAATGCACCTTTAATTTTACCATGAGCAAAATAAAAGTGAATCCACTTAGAATGCAGATGTTTGCTGATTTGCTAGTACACATTCTACATTTGCCATTTTATAACATTGATTTATATGATGAGAACGTGAAATTAATTAGTATGTTTAATACCGTCTTTTTCCGTTTTTTCTTTCTCCTCTTCAGCTGGGAATGAGGAACAGGAAGGTTTGGCCGCAGTGAAGAAGATTCGTGAAGAGTTGAATCAGGGAAAAGGTAAAATTATTTCAAAGTTAAATGTCTTTGAAGGGTCTGGGGGTTTTAAGTGGTCTGTTGTGTAAGAAAGGCTCTGCAAGCTGAGTTCCCGTGCATCATGATGTACCCTCCTCCATTGGTGATCCTGACCTTTACAGTCTCCTTGAGGTGATGATTTACTCCGCAATGACCTGATACCGCTTAATTTGCAGCTAAACAGGATAATTTTTCTTGCCATGTTTGGATTGGTGTGTTTACTGGAAGAATGTGTGAGAGCAAGCAGAAGAATACCAAGAGAGAGATGTTTGATGATTGTGTTCGCTGAAGAACCATAACCTCATTGTAATGCAGATGGGATATTGAGAGCTGCAGTTTGGATGAAGGCGCGCTCGCCTCCCTGCGGTATCCGCCCCTCCCCCATGTGGATTTTCAACTGCTAGGCGAGAACAGGCCCGTCGGTTTTCAATTCTAGCTTTCATCATAGGGCTATTGAAGTTGAGAAATAATGCACTGGAGGGGAGCTGTCCTTCTGCCCTCATCTAGTGTCAGTTTGTCTAAAACCGTGACCTTAAATACCAATTTTGAAATTGGTCTTGGTTCAGAGGGAAAAACAATACTGCGAAGATGTCAGATGTGCTAACAAGAGTTGAGTCTTTCAAAACAAGCAAAGGCTTGACTGGAGGTCTGTTTGCGTGCGTGTACGTGTGTGAGCCTTTACGCTCAGCATGATCTTCTCTAAGCTAGTCTAATAATGACTCACGATCGCTCTTTATATGGCTACAATCACCTAATGAGGGTTAGACATCACATCCAATTAAACGGAGGAGGTGTTTTAGAAAAACAAGATGGACTGAGCTGACAAAGATAAGACATGTAATTATAATGAGCTTAGTATAGGAACGTTAAAGTGAAGCAGCCGTCTTATTTAAGATGTTTACTGCTGTTCAGTTGGACAGTCTTAATTTTGCCGGGGCTGGTCATTAAAAATGAATGCTGTGCCAGGATGATGCTGGTTTAAAGGCAATTGGTGTGGTCAAAGAAGTCACATTTGAAAAACTTTTCTTAAATGTTTGGCTATTTCATATAATCACTTAGTTCGCTTTTGAATAACAGTAAATTGCACATGCAAGGTTGCCAGAGGCATGTTGCTTCAATATAAGCATCTTTATAACATGTGCTTATGTCCATTACGAAGTGAGCTAAATGAAACTTAATTGAACTCAAATGAAGTGAATTAAATTTACTTAGGGCTGCACATTTAAATAAAGATTGCGATTACTGTTACCTTATCGAATCATTAAAAGTGTTAAATTGGTGTTTAAATTTGACACTAACATGTCCTGTGTTTCACTAACCTGCAGCATTAGTTTCTACTATCATTGTATTTCTCACTACACATGCATAATTTATTAATAATCTGAATAATAGTTTTGTTTTTCATGCTGCTAAGAGTGTAAAGTTACAGGCACTGTTACAGCAATAAATTGATTTAGGAACACAGTTCTTGCGTAACAGCCTGCATAATGAATATGATATGACATAGTGAGGTAGGTATGTGGGGGCGTGTTCGAACGAGCCGTTTTAGGTAGGTGTGGCTAACTCTTAACTTTTATAAAGAATATCTCTTTGGATTTGAGACTTTAGTCTTTGCAACTTTACAGATCTTCTTTATGCACCAAGAGCTTGTAACACTCTAAAGAGAAAGGAAAAAATGAAATCGCATCATATGACCCCTTTAATGTCAGTTATATTCCAAAAACATTAATAATCACTTTTACAATATCCTGGTACATAAAATACTTTACTAAAAATGATATACTACTGTTAAAATGTTGTTGTTTTTTAAGAAATTAATACTTTTTATTCAGCAAGGATGCAATAAATTGGTCAAAAGTGACCATTTTCTTTTTCAAAAGAAATAAAAGAATTATATAAAAAAAAAAGATCACGGTTTTCACAAAAATATTAAGCAGCACAACTGTTTTCATCAGTGATAATAATAAGAAATGTTTCTTGAGCAGCAAATCATGTGACACTGAAGACTGACAGTTAGGACTATTTATATCAAATAAGTGTATCCCTAGTGAGACTTTTCTTATCAACCCCAAACTTTTGAATGGTAGTATACCAGTGAAAATGTTGGCAGTCAAAATCTCAACTATTTGCTAAACCAGGCCACCAGGGAAAACATGCTTACTGTGTAGCCCTGAATGAATTGAATTTCGATAGCTTTGAAGGTACCCAAGCTCAATTGAACTGAACCACCCAAAATGGCACTGGCCATGCTCATCACGGGGTCACGCTGACCCTTTACTCTGCGGCTCCAGAGATAGTGTCCGTCTTAGACAGATAGTGCTGAGTGACTGATTCAGGGCAGAGCACTGCTGGCAGACACACTCGTCCCACACTGATCTGCTCTTCTCTCTCTTGCCCTGACAACACAAGGCAGACGTGCAGAGCTGAACCATGGCAGGCGGCAATACACCCTGTCAACGCGTTATGGATTCAGTCACTCTGGATGGGTGGACAGTTATGTTCCCAAGGCTGTTTTCCACCCATCCTCTGCTTGTCATATTTCTCCGCGCAGCTGCCGCGGCTCCGGATCTGTGGTGTGATTTGTGAGTGACGAGGCCTTTTTAGCAGTTTTCAGAAAGCGTCTGTGTCAGATGTCAGATGTGGTCATGGAGCCTGCTATAATGACACACACTTGCAGGGTTTACTGTAGCTGTTTGACCAAGATCTGCTGAAATGTGACATGCATATTGTATGGCCATCAAATGTCTGTTTAAATATCTTTTCCTCTGCTTTGCATAGATTAGCTGTGTCTCAATTCACATACTGTCTTAAATAGTATGCAAGACTACTGTTAGTGCGGCCTAATCATAGTGCTTTAAAAAAGTATTCCAAAGGTGCTTGTTTAGTATTCTATTCCCAGTGGATTGTGCTTGCTTTTTGGGCTAATATTGTCTATAAACTTTGCACTATATGCAAATCGTTCCCTTTTAGTTTTTCCAGTGTTTGAAATACGTCAAGGAATGTGGTTCTTCTTATGAAATGCAGGTTTTCGCCAGACATAACAGGGCCCAAAGTTCCACTTTTGATTCATCTCTCTGTAATAACTTGTTCCAGAATTCTTGAAGATCATCCAAGTGCTTCTTAGCAAACATGAGGCGAGCATTCTTGGTGAGGAAATGTTTCTGCCTTGCTGCTCTGCCATGGTTCTATTTTTGACCAGTGTCTTTCTGATGTTAGCTGAGCAATGCTGAGCAGTCATTGGATGTTGTTCTGGTGTTTTTTTGTGACTTCTTGGATTGGCAACTATTTCAAACATTCTCCATTTTGATGACATTGCTCTGATTGTGGTTTGTTGAATTTTGATTCCACCCAGTGACTCAGGTCTTTTGAATCCATTCAATAAAGTGTTTCTTTCAGATTATTTCACTAATTCGAATCTTGTCGCCTGGTTCTGGTTCTGGTTGTGTGTCCTTGTTGTCAATGTCTCGCATGCCAAATTGAGCAATCAATATATGTCCCTTTGTGCATTTGTCCAGCAGATTCTTGTTCACAAATGAGATGCCTGATTCGTCTATTTTTGTTCATGAATGAAAAATCTCATTCAGACTAAAAGTAGCAACTATTTCAGTGAAAGTGCACACTCCTTCATTGGATCAATTCTGTACTTTTCACTAAAAACATAGTACTGGTTGTGTTCTTTGATTAATAGAAAGTTCAAAAGAACAGCATTTATTTCAAATAGAAATCTTTTGTAACATTATAAATGTCTTTACTGTCTCTTTCAATCAATTAATGTGACCTTGCTGAATAAAAGTATTAATTTCTTTAAAAAACAGTATCTTATAAAACTTTTGAACAGTATTATATATATAACAGTTATGAAAATAACTGTTAACCAGGGGTGCACTTAAGTTTTTCAGTCTGGTTTTCATGAGAGCACTTGGAGATTTGGTTTGGTGCTCACACTGCACACAGTGTGACCCATTAAATGTAACTAAAACAAAAAACAAAAAAAACCTAATAATTATTATTAGTAGTAATAATAGTATTATTGCACTTTATTTAGTTAGTTTTTTTTTTAAATAAAATAATAAACAAAATGATAAATAAAGTGTGATAATACTATTGCATTTAAAAATAATAATAATAATAATTAAAAAAAATGAATATGAAATAAAAATACAATTATCAACATTTTTAAACCTAAAATGAGCAAGCTTTTATTTTGGTGGTCTGCCATTTTTGCACGTTTTGGTGCAAATGAAATGTGTTTTGCTCTGAAACCTTCAGCGCATAGCCTAGATTTATGCTTTCAGTTCTAATGGAAATCTTATACAGTATTACCGTTAGTCGATTGTGCATTAAAGGGATACTTAATTACTCACCCTCATGTCGTTCTAAACCCGTAAGACCTTCGTTCATCTTCAGAACACAAATTAAGATATTTTTGATGAAATCCGAGGGCTTTCTGACCCTGCAGGGATCAACGCTAGTGGTTCAAATTTTTACTTGCCCTGCCACAAAAAATAAAATAGTTGCTGTTATCATTGTTTTTGATCTGTTATCTTGTTTTCTAATAAATAAGCCTATATGACACAAATATTTTAGATACCAATTAAATTGTACAATTCTCTAATTCAATTTCGATACCACAGCAAAAATCACTAGCCAAAAATAAACATAAATATAAAGTTTAAACATTTTTAAAGACAAATGACAGCCAGTAAATAAGAACAAATGAACAAATTACAAGTAATATCACAATTAAATATAGGCCTGTGGCACAAAAAATAGAAATTAAATGATGCTTTAGGTTTTTATGTTTGTAGATGTTCAGGTACAGAAATTGAAAAATCACATTTGCATATTCTTCACTCTGTGTTGCACCTTGATTTTTCATAGCCATTTGAAATTAGAGTCAACCACTGTATTTTAATCATGAATTGAAAAAAAAAATGCAATGTTTGATTTATATTAGACTGTATAATTTAAAAATCTGAAGCAAA